TAATTAATTTTATTGGTTAAATCAGGTAAAATATAATGCTTGTCATAATTTGGGATTGCTGACATTTTTTGTCTTTGAAAGTCTCTTCTGCTCACCAAGGATACGTTTATTTGATCAAAAACACAGTCATTTTTTTTTTTAAATAACTATTTTCTATGTTAACGTTGTCAAATTTACTCCAGTGATGCAACGCTGAATTTTCAGCACCATGCTGATTTGCTGATCAATAAATATTTCTGATTATTATCAGTGTTGAAAAAATCTGTGCTGCTTCATATTTTTCTTGAAAACTGTGATACATTTGATTTTTTTAGGATTCTTTGATGAATGGAAAGTTCAAAAGAACAGCATTTCTTTGAAATAGATTTTTTTGTAACACTTTTGATCAATTTAATGCATCCTTGATTAACAAAATATTTTTTTTTTCATACTTATCCCAAACTTTTGAATGGTAGTATATCTTGGTTTCCACAAAAATATGATTTTAACAAAGAATGATTTCTAAAGGATGAAGACTGGAGTAATAATGCTGCAAATTCAGCTTTGCATCACAGGAATAAATGACATTTTACAATATATTCACACAGAAAACAGTGATTTTAAATCGCAATAATATTTCACATTTTTAACTGTATTTTTGATCAAACAAATGCATCCTTGGTAAGCAGAAGAGACTTTCAAAAACATAAAAAAATCTTACCATTCCCAAACTTTTGACCGTGTAGTGTAGGCCTTTAATGTAATGGTCACAGGCTACCACTTTTTAGAACTTAAAATGTGCAATCAAAAATGGGTTAATATTAATGTTAACAAATTAACAAATAAATATTGTTAACCAATAGTCATAACTAGTTTAATAAGCATTATTTTATCACATTCACACTGACACTGGCTCCATTCTGGTATCAAACGTCCATTTTCAACATCCATTAAATTCCAAATGGAAAAAATGAAATCCCAACTTAGTTTAATTTAATTTAATTTAATTTAATTTAATTTAATTTAATTTAATTTAATTTAATTTAATTTAATTTAATTTAATTTAATTTAATTTAATTTAATTTTATTTTATTTTATTTAATTTTATTTTTTGTCGATACCCTGTTTAATGCAAGATCATCATGCCAGCTAACAGCTTGTACCACGTTTAAAAATGACACTGGCATTAAAAAGTGATAATGAATCAGATGTTATAGACAGTCTTGAGTCATTTTCTCAATGCTTTGTAAGGAGGCTCTCAGGAGTGCTGCGCCCCTTCATTTATTTGGATTGCTAAAATCCAGCTTCCTTCTCCCCCAGCCATGTGCTCCTCAATGCAGGGACATGTACTGTTGCTAGAACAATGTATCTATTATTTATTCACTCATTTTCTTAACACCAATGCTCTTATCAGTGTAGACACCTCATTAGTATGTGATCGCCGCTCAACACAACATGGAGATCTGCGCCTCCTTTACCACAATCCCACCCCCACCTTGACACTTCCAGTTTGATTGGCTGCCTATGTGTAGATTTTTTTTTTCCAATGACAGTCAGTGCAGTGAAGCAATATGAGGTCTGTTTGTTAATGAGATGACACTGCAGAGGTTAGAGAGAAGTTTACAATTCCACACGGGTGCTGAGGATCAGATCAGCACAAAAGTGTGTGAATGAGTAAAGCAACTGGTGGAGAGCTTCACTGAATGTGCTAAATAAGTGAAAATATTCAGTTCTGAGGGCTTGCTGGATATCGCGGTCAGATATCAGATAGCAAAAGAAAGCTGCACATGTACTGCAACATACTTAATACGCTTATATAATAATGTATATTACTGTGAAGTAATGACGAGTGTACTTTTGGTTTATCTGACATCTATAGGCCTTGCCTGTTAACGAAAATCCTAGAAAATGGGTTGTGTATATATTGGCCTGGTTGATAAATCTGATAATATATGGATATTTCTAAATTGAATGGAACCGAATTAATAGAAATGGTCATTTTTTTCACCTTAGGGTGACCTTTTAAAATCATCACTAATTTATACTTTATCCAATGGTACATACAGTAGTTAATAAAATAATTAATTTAAACAATGACCTATTTGTAAAGTCACTTGCTTTGATCCTGAATGAATGAGCTGTTTTGAATGAATCAGTTGAATGAATTAATCAGTGACTCACTCATTTAGACAGTGACTTGCCACCACCTACTGGCATTTTACTATCTTATTTAGTGTATTTTCTCTTTCAACACGTCATATGTCTATATTCACTATCTTTTATATTTAAAATTATTTGTGCAATTGTAATCGCAATGTAAATGCACTCATGGCATCTCCGAGCTGCATTAAACAGTTTATGTAAATACATCTAAATGCCACTTTATATACTGCTTCTGTGCTACTTCTGCAGTGCCAAGTTTTTACATGAAAGAGTTTGCATACATTTAAAAAAGTTACAAAAACTGACCTAAAAAATGCCACAGAAAATCAAAATAAGGGGGCAAATATTTAACCTTACTGGAAGAGTTGCTTACATGTTTGAGATAATTTTTCAGTTGTTATCCTAGCCTCACTGAATCATACAAACCGTCCTCCTTTTTGGTCTTATAAAAATGGTAATTTCCAAAAAATAAATAAATAAAAAATACCATCAGCCTTCCCAGTGGATAATTTTGTTTATATCTATTCACCATCCTCCTCTCTAAATAGCAATATTGGTCGACCACTCTTTAAGAAAAAAAAAAAAAGACCAGTGAGTGTACAGATGAACAGTAAGTGTACACAACCTAGTAGGTAATATTCAGTTCCTAAAAAAACAAAATATTTTGTTTGTGTTCCTCCAATAATTCCATGACAAACTCAGGTTGTGTAATCATTTATGCTATCTTTCTCTCACCTATCTGTACCTCTAAAGTGCTGGGGTTATTCTGCGTTGCCAAGGGAACTTGCTTATGAATTCAAAGTGATTTTGACTCAGAAATACCGACAGACTGTGCCCACAAAGCACTTCTATCACTGAATGCTCATCCTCTTATTGCAACACTTTCACTTGCAAATCAGACTGGGCAAGCATGGGTGCCGCAAAATAACTGTCATAATTACAATTACAAATTACAAATCACAAAAACATCAAAGCAGAAATACAAAACGACTTGTCATGTACTAAGCAAACGTGACGCTAAAGCCAACCACAAAGACTGAGGGGGAAAAAGCAAGAATTCTGATAATATCAGAAGTTTCTCAGTGAAGAAAACATGATGCTTAGAAAAAAGTAATATAAGCCCGAAACTATGAAATTCTCTCCCAGTCCCTCTGTGACCTCTCTACCCTGTCCGAACTCGAAACCCAGCTGAAAACACATCTCTTTGTGTTCTAAATTCAGTCGTATCTGTTCTTTCCTTGTATTTTTTTTTACTCATATTTTGTTTCACGGTATGCCTTGCTTTATTTATGATTTGTGCTACTGTTAGTTATATTATTATCATTAATATCAAGCTATTTAATACCAATACATTTCATCTGAAGTCCACAATGAGGCTTGATGTTAATAGGTGGTGCACAACTGAAAGCAGTAACCGGATCATTACAAGATTATGGGATAATATATGGGGTAATAGAAACTCTTCACTGCAGAATAGCCTACTTCAGTGTTTCTCCACTTGTTATATTGCTGAATTAAGCTGAGATCTATCAAAGTAGTGACTGGTGTGTTACTGATGGATAAAGATGATGATTATCGCAGTTCATAGAAATGTTTGCACAGATTTCCAGCAATTATTCCTCAGTCTCGTTCAGTCAGTGATATGAAGCAGCATCCAGGTAAAAGCTCATAGTACTCACATGCATGAGTGACAGAGAAACTGTTGGAGGACTCCAGGTTATCTACGTTGTAATTGAGATGGAAGGGTTTCTCAGTCATGTTCTGATTGGTGTTGTAGAGCTGCACAGCGAACCTGAAAGCGCTGTGTTCTTGCACGGTGGAACGCATGAAGAGCCCACCTTTATGAAGACCAAACAGCAATGAATCAGAGACGATGCACAGATTTCATGCTTATAAAGTCTGTATGAATATAAAACACCTGGCTTAAGCGTCAGATCCATTTAGACACATTTATGGATGTGTTCCAACATGGTTATACACGGACTCAATTCGATTCGCCTCCATTCGTAGGAAGGAACTTTCTCTTAAGTTTATGAAAAGCGATTGATAGCTGACATGCATGCAGAGCGGAAAACCTAGACATTTTTGCAGAGATATAATCATAATCGTTTTATTATTTATGACAATTCTGTTTGGTATCATTGGCGATGATTCCTTAGATTGCACTTAATACCGCGGGCAATAATACCGTCTTCATATATCACCTAAACATGCATATGCATCGAAACCAGACATCGACACACAAAGCCAAAGAAGTCAAGCATATCCGGACGGACTCACCGATATTGATTTGATTGGGGAAGGCAGCGATAGATGTGCCGAATAGCCATAATAAAAAAAGCAGCGCGCTTTGAGCCATTTTCGCCCCTGCCTCAAAAATCAAGCCTTAGAAAACGAACTGTTTGAGGAGAATCATAAGAGAGAGGAAGAGGGAGAGGGACTGGTGCTGAAGATGGTCGAGGCGACTTGAGAGCATCACATCCAGAGTGAGTGCGAGCGGCTCCTCCAATTGGACCAGCAGGGCGATATTGATCAAACTTGAACTGACGTTGAAGAAGAAGATTTGGTAACACTTTCTAAGAAGCCTGTAGATTTAATGCATGCGTTATAGAGGTTTTTCATAATGCATTATAGTAGCTACAGTTGTTAGATTTGTTCACGAATTAACGGAGTCACATTTATAATGCATTATAACACTTAAATATTTATTTAATGAAGGTAGTGCGTTTTAATGCACGCTATAAACAGTTAAATCTGCCCATAAAACGTTGCAGTGCATTATGTTTTATGTTATAACATAAATAAATATACTGTATATTGCAAGCAAATACAATTTCTCTGTTGCATTATAGGCCAGTTATATTCATATAATTAACGTCATCCATAGTGCGCATTGCAAGCAGACGTTTTCCATAAGTTATTTTAAGTACAGTTAATATAGCTATAGCTGATGTAACGCATGCCTGGTTGTAATGCCTATCTAGAAATGACTAGGTTATTAGCCCAATGTAATAGCCTACATTCCATCTGAGCTGAGGTTATTCTCACTGTTCAGGCTATAAACAGTTAAATCTGCCCATAAAACGTTGCAGTGCATTATGTTTTATGTTATAACATAAATAAATATACTGTATATTGCAAGCAAATACAATTTCTCTGTTGCATTATAGGTCTATTATATTCATATAATTAACGTCATCCATAGTGCGCATTGCAAGCAGACGTTTTTCATAAGTTATTTTAAGTACAGTTAATATAGCTATAGCTGATGTAACGCATGCCTGGTCTTGTGTTGTAACGCCTATCTAGAAATGACTAGGTTATTAGCCCAATGTAATAGCCTACATTCCATCTGAGCGGAGGTTATTCTCACTGTTCACGAGAACATGCATCTGGTTGAGACGTCATGAAAGAATCAAAATGCGTTGAGAAGCAGTTCCAGTACATGTGGAAACCCACCGGCTAATATCACATTAAATGACCTCCTCAGCAGCACCATGTCAAGGGTTCGTGAAGTTTACTCAAAGCATGTAATTATCTTAATTAAAACGCAACATTTGATATGTGTCAGGCAGCCTTTTGATGTGTTTAGGTGAGTGCAATGCATTTATTTATTATCACGCAATCTACTAATTTATGTCGCCATGCAGTGACGCGACGCGACAAACCAAACGCTGTCATAATGATAGGCTACTGGATCTGCTGGCATTACATGCAGCGTTCGGTGCAGATGGGGTCACGTGGAAGGAAGACCGCATGATTTTGTTTAGGAAGGCGCTGACGCGTAACCTGAAGCGCTTTAAATTGAGCACCATCGATCGCTTTGTTAGGAATCGTTCACCGTAGCGTCAAGGGCGTAGGTTTCAGCATTGGGGGGGTTAAAGTGTGAACTGTTTTAGTAGAGTCCCGGGTCATGCTCACTCATAAGATTTATTTATTTGTTTGTTTGCTTATATATTTATTTTTGTGAAATGGTCTTTTGTGCTATACCATCTATTCTTATATTGATATTATTTCTTCCTTAACAGTTCATCAGGCTCTTAATGATTTAATCTATGCCATCTTTTGGAATATCTGAAGGCCATGTACCATAGTTCTTAATATATCCCCCCACAAACTGCCCCAGTGTAGAGTTATACTTTGAAGCGACTGGATTAACAACGGCGTGAAGTAAAGAAGTCATGTTACAATTTGGGTTTAAAGAGAGAAAACGGATTCAAAAAAAGTGTTTTTAAAAGTGTTTTTAAGAGTTGAGCCTTGGGTGTTCAAACGCGACACAAACGCGCAAACAACATAGAGACCATACGGTCGTTTGACGTGTGTGCACAGATCGCCAGTTATCACAAATCAGTTTTTGATGCAACACAATGGAACATTGTCGATGTGTCTTTTCAAAAAGTTCGCAATTTGACACGTCACATTAAAACGCAACGCGTCACAGAAAAACATCGAGAAGCGACGCGATGACCAAAGACGTCCATCTGACGCATGTGTACATAGACTAACAATTAATAACATGGCAGACGGAATGCAAGAATGCGCACTGTGTCAACGCCACAAAACACAATACAGTCTCTCACACAGACTGCTGAATAGTGTTAATGAATTAGGATAATAATGAATGTGGACTCAGCAAAGAGACCTTGTGTTTTGTTACGATGAGCCTTTTATATTGCAGCTATTATTGAGTCGGGCTGCTGTCCATGGTGCTGAACACATTCGACTCCAGATATGTAATTTCGTTTATTGTAGATTGATGATGTGGAAAGATTGCCCTGGAGTATACTTTATATTACAGTGTTCAGTACTGTGTATTTACACAAGTGAGTACTGTGCAAGTCTGTGTACTGTGTAACTGCATGCAACTTTGCCCTGTCCCAACCCAATCAATGCACAATATCAAGTTATAATTACACATTAATCTATAGCACATCATTTCAATGCAGTTCAACATCTGTTATAACATTATTTGAGATTTTTTGAGTCTTTTTTGAGATTTTTAACTAAGGCACACATAGCCTTGCATTGTCTATCCTCTGTGTGTTTTTACCAATCGGAAGAACAATTCAAGGATGACAGTTCCATTTATCGTGGGCTGCAAAGCTCTACCAAAATTGAGTTTTTAATTGCATTGCAGACAGACAAGGCTTTAGCTATTGATACTAAAATTGGCTTGTGCCCCCAGTGCAGCATTGCAAAGGGAAACGTCGTTGCAAGTTCCCTTCAACAGCAATCTTGCAATCACTAGCAAATGTGCTCGCCAAAATGAGTAATAAAGAAGATGTAGTAGTTAATTTCAAAGCATTCTGTTTTTGGTCTTGGGAGATTTTAATTCCCCACCATCTCCTAAAACCAAGTACAGTGTTTCAAACTGGTTAATGAAAACTGATAATAAACAAAATTACAAATAAGACATACAGTATGCAGAGATTCGTTTACGGTTTTTCTTCTGTATTAAAAACGATTTGTAAAATCTCTGAAACGTCTTAAGTTCAGATATTATAATGTAGTATATATTATATAATAATAATACTTATTTTATTTTTATGTATTTTTATTTTAATTTTTTAATTTTTTTTGGGAGCTCAAGTAAAAATGTTTAGATAATATTAAAAGCTAGAAATTCTTGGCTGAATATTTTTATTAAGTGACTGAAGTAACAAGTTTATGAATAAGACGTACTGTCAGTAGGTTTGTTTTGAATTGCTTTCTTCTGTATTAAAAACGATTTGTAAAATCTCTGAAATGTCTTAAGTTCAGTTCAGTTTTTCAGATTCTGTTGGTTATTTATTCAATGTCATTCATATGACAGGTAAGATCAAATGCATCTCTGTTGTCTTCTGTGGTTAGGCGACATGAAGTGTGTTTCGTGAAGGTGAGCGTCCACACAGCAATATACAGTGCAATACTCTTCCCTACATTAATGTGTCAGAGTGGAGGAGCAAATCAGACCCCAGCATTGATTTTTCTGAGACTGTCATCATTGTCATTATGAGCACTTAGGTCATTCACCTTACCATCATCAACATATAAAATCTGATCCCATAATCATTAAAGGTTACAGTTTCATTGCTGCACCAAGGCAATAAAGGCAATTGATTAGATTTGAAGATATAAATAAGCATGCTTTCTAAATGATTAACAGACATACGGAAATGAAAGGACTGGAAATCATAAAAACAAGCAAACAAAACATTTTTCTGTCAATCAATGACAACCACCCGTAGTTCAGTCTTACAAGTGGGAAGTAAACATTAAGAATGTGACTAAACATTCAAACACCTAATGATAAACACAACTGGAAGGTAGTCAAGTTAATTTTATTTGCATAGCGCTTTTCACAATTCAGATTATTTCTAAGCAGCTTCACAGAAATAGTGATGTAGTGAATAATGGATGGTTTCCAACCAGTTGAGATTTCCTAAAAGTCTTTTTCACATCATGTTAGTGTACGTGGGAGCTCAAGTAAAAATGTTTAGATAATATTAAAAACTAGAAATTCTTGGCTGAATATTTTTATTAAGTGACTGAAGTAACAAGTTTATGAATAAGACGTACTGTCAGTAGGTTTGTTTTGAATTGCAAACATTTGTCTGCTAAATCCAAGCCAGTGTAGTGTAACCAGCACACAGAGAGCCATTTTGTTACCATGTGACATGAAAACCATAAAACAGGAAATTATGTCACAGAGGACCCCTGTAGACTCTGTAGACTATGAGTCCCTTTAAATAAATAATTTGACTTTTCATGACATGGCAAAATTTTTTCCTGATATCTATGATTCAATGATGATTTTAAACATCAGTGTTTAAAACAATTCCTAAAACTTACATATCCTCAAGGAAAAAAACAAAATATGTTTATTTCTTAATAGTTATACACATGGGATTTTTAGAGTCATTAAAGGTGCAATTTGTGCATCACTGAGTGTGTGTGCGTGTGTGTGTGTGTGTGTGTGTGTGAGCGCGTTTTTGTGACAAATGAGGACATAAATTTGTATAATGACAAAGGTATGACATAGGTATTACAAGGAGAAGGTGACTTTTCAGGACATTATCCCATGTCCCCACTTTTCAAAACGCTTATAAATCACACAGAATGGAGTGTATTGAAAATCTGAAATAGCACAAAGTTTCCTGTGAGTGGTAGGTTTAGGGGTAGGGTTGGCGTAGGGCAATAGAATATACGGTCTGTATAGTATAAAAACCATTACGCCTATGGGATGTCCCCACTTTTCACAAAAACAAACCTGTGTGTGTGTGTGTGTGTGAGGGGGGGCTTTAATGTAAAATGTTTCAATAATGATGTGAACATTCATAAGCTTGTATTACATTTCCAACAACTTGCCACATGCATTTTTAAACAACATTATTGTTCCCTTATTTTTGGACCTCTTATGTTTTCATTAACCCATT